GCGATAACGCCGAGGTGGATGTTCACCGCTCTCCGTCAAGGCTGGACGGTCTCTCCAAATCGATTCGGCATAGCTTCCTGGCTCAGACCAGTTGTCGCCGTCGGCGGAGCTATGATTTTGCGGATCGTAGTCGCCTACCTCATCCACGGCTGAAAAGCGTGACTGAACTTCAGGCCCGTCTTCCAAAGCTTCCTCTGCCATCGACGTGCCGTCAGCTCACCCGTCCACCGAATCCTGCGAACAAGCAGTGGTACTTGTCGATTTGTACATTTGTGTCATATATAGATCCGCAAGTGGAGAAGGAAACATAAACATGATCGGAACTTACCCCACGCACTGGACGCCCTTGCACCAAATCCGCATGCCCTGGGGCACCGCCACCACCCGCATGATCTTCAGAGCTCACATTCTGAATATGATTGTCTTGTTCCTGGACGACAGCAAGGGCAGTCCGAAGCAGGTGCAGACATCTCGACTCACACACACGTTGTCTGATCACAAACAGGTGTTCGGAAGGACGCAGCCTGATTAAGTATAGCAGCTCTCCCTGGGGAGCCCTCTCAAGCAGTTCGAAAAATTGGATGGATTCCCGCCCATGGAATACAGCAAGACCATGTTGACACCTGTTAGGCCGTTTGTCACACTGAATGACTGTCACCATATTCCACCTGTAGAGGGGGAACCTGATGCAAAGCAATTTCGCAACAAGGGAACAGAAAAAACCAACTGAATTTTTGCTTTCAACAGCAACTAGACCAAATTGGCTTGCAATTAAAAAGTACTGACTGGGAACATGCACACCCAAATGATATGTTACTGAATTGTCACAGATTATGATATACATGCATACAAACCAGACATACTGAAGACAAGAGCATACAGTATGCAGCACAACCTTAGGCTTGTTGCAGGCAGTGGCGTAGCTAGGATTTTATGCCAGGGTGGTCCAATTGCCAAGAAAAATAATTGCCAAGATACTACGCCACTGGTTGCAGGTTTTCTTCCCATGACCACCGACACCACAGTTTGAGCATTTAGCTTCTTTTCTTCCCTTTTGAGGAAGATCGCATCACAGGAAAGGGATTAGCTACCTTAGCAGCAAACTAAAGCAATAAGTATTCTAACCAGATTCCAGAATGCCTTATGATGCCTTCAGGATTGGCCACGAACTAAGTGGCGGTCCATCCAAGCTCAAGGAGCACTTTTTGCCGCCGCTGATGGGGCAGTTCCTGGAGGAGGCGGGGGAAGGAGTCCTCGGCACGGCCACGTCGGCTGATGACACCGTATTCTCTTAAGGTTGCAGACGGGAGTTGTTAGTAAGAAAAGTGAAACACAATTAGATTAGGGCTGATACAAGTACATTTCTGAATTCTGACCAACCTTTCTACTGTACAACCACATGGAAGTCAGTGTAAACATGATTCCTACTAAGTAAAACCACTACAAATTCTTTAGAGAACAGAGAAAAATAACCATGAAATTCTCATTAAAAGCATTAACCAACTAAAGACGCCAAATAAACTGGCACAAAAATCACAGCGTTGTTTTTCTATCTTTCGAGGGACTACACTCTACCAAGGAGTTGAGCATGGAAACTTGAATGGCAATTAATCATTGCTGAAAACTGGGGAATAATTATGTAAACAAATTAAGAGACAAAACATGAAGGTGATGGGTCATGTCGGGAATCTATTTTCCATCATTTGCACATTAGGATAGATAATTTGCAAAAATTATGTAGCCTCTTACTTTTTCCGTCACATAATGAATGCAAAACTATTCAAAAAAGTATCAAGTGAAAGAGGAGAAAATCTAGAGAAAGAATCATGCATATATGAGAATCATACATAATTACAACTGTGCAAAATCATAAAAAAAGGTATAATACCTGCTACTTGTTGGAACTTGGAAGCAAAACAGAGTTGAGAGCAGAGACACATACAACAGAAATCTAATAAGAATAATAGACTAGAAACCCTGAACAATCTGATCCAGAGAAAGAATCATGCATATATTGAAAATCATACATAATTACCACTGTGCAAAATCAGAAGAAAAAAAGTTGGAAGCGAAACAAAATAGAGAGCAGAGATACATACAACAGAAATCTGATAAGACTAATACTAGATTGCAAAACCTGAACAATCTGATCAGCCAATAGTAAATTCAAGATGCTAGAACATAAAGGATCACTCTAAGATTGTGCAGAAGTTTCTAGACATATCATATACACAAAGAGCATAGTGTGTGTTTGTATGAATATGAACATCCAAGAGAAAATTAAAAAATTTTGTAGACATCAGGAACTTGTTTCAGCACGAAACAGCTGGTGTCTTGTTGTGATTCAGTACACATTTTATGTCAGACTACTCAAAATTAAGGGATAACGGAACGACTAATACATCGAGGGCATCATATAAGCCATATACCTCTTCGTCCAGCCCGGGGCTTGAGGATGATCTTTGCCCGTTGATTCCTCAGAGCTCGGCGCCGACAAACTCTGTTTAGTTCTACTTGGACTGTCAGCGCCGCATCGCCTACATCACCATTCACCAATGCTGGACTGCGCGGTTGTGCACACCAGAGTTCAGGTGGGTTCAACGTCGAGAATGCCGCCGCCAAGATCCGGCAGGGGGAACCTATGGCAAAGAAGGGAGCAGAGTACTAAGTTCACGCGGCGAGTCACAGCGGACAGCAGTACGATGCACGGACCGGAGATATGGAAGGTACTCCCTCTGTAAACTAATATAAGAGCGTTTAGATCACTATTTTAGTATTCTAAATGCTCTTATATTAGTTTACAGAGGGAGTACCTGTCAACGGGATCTGGCAGAAACTCGAAGCCATCGCCCCCCGCCTCCGCCGTCGCCATGGCTGCCTCCTGCGGTCGTCCAAGGGATAAATTTTTTTTCTGCAAAAAAATAACTCATGTTTTGTGTTCTGCACCGGTTCTCCCGTTCTGTACCGTGGGAACATGTGGACGATGTGCCGTGACGGCATCGTCACAGCAAACGGCGCCCTCAACGTAGACCACTGTTTCAGGTTACGCTCGCATTCAATGCCCAGTCCATCGTGTCTTTACTCGATTGGTACAAGTAGAGAGAGCAGGCGAGCTGGTCCACTACATCGCCACTCATCTCTCTCTCTCATCCTCATGCTTCTATACACACCATTCTCAATTTTCTTTGGTGCATTTGGAAGTCAAGAAATGCCACCCTCTTTACTACTCCCTCTGTAAACTAATATAAGAGCGTTAACGCTCTTATATTAGTTTACAGAGGGAGTAGGAAAGATGGCTTGCCCCATCGGCTTCACCACGCAGCCACAACTATTGCTGAATGAAAACAGATTGCACCCACTGTACTGCTAAAAACCTGCTGACAGTGATTTACTGCAGGGAAATTCTATCAGAAGTCACCTTCTCATTGCAGGACCAAGAATCAGATGCGGCTTTCAATTCTTCAAAATTCCAAGGACTGCAGGCCAATGCAAAAGCTACAGGAATAGGAATTCTTCATACTCCCTCTTATACTTCTTTACGGAGGGACTACTATTTATCCCTCAAGGAATATCAGACGTACAAATTCAAAACCAAGCCTCTCTACCTGTAAATTCTCTCCTCTTCAAGCAAAAGCAGCTGGCCTCCTACTCACATCAGCGGCAACAGACATTCTACAGTTTGATCAGCCTTCATTCCTCACTAGTAATCTAACCCTAGTGAGGGCTGCATCAACTAGGAATGTGAATTCTAACAACATTCACTGGCCCGTCAGACAGACACTTAAGACTGAATATCTACTCCTCTGTACCAAAATATAAGACGTTTGAACTGCAAAAAAGGTCTTATATTTTGATAAGAGGCAGTATCTCTGAAGCCTCTCCTAAACCACGCATTCTCACATGCCCAGAAACAGACATTCATCAAACTTACCATCACGCATTCACGATGAATATGCCCTCCCTTCTCTCGCCATTCACGCCATGAAGCAGACCAAACTAGGTGGAGGTACAACATTGCAAAATCCAAATAGAACGAACATGTCTAAGGTCATCAAGTTACACAAACTAGGTGGAGGTACAACATTGCAAAATCCAGGAATATGGCGTTCAAGACAGTACAGCTTACACATAATCTAGCATGAGGCCCATCATGCGCAGCTTGTTATCCAACTTGACATCGGGCCTCTGCTGACGCAAAGAGAACAACCCTTCACCTGTCGTAGCCACCGCCACCAGCACGGCGGCCATAACCCCTTTCGGGCATACGGTACGGGGAATACGGCAGCGACCTAGACCGCTCCCTTCTTGCCCTGCCACCGTAAGGAGGGGGAGACCTGTGGGGGGAGTAGCCCCGGCCACCCCTGCCGTCATAGTAGTCTCGGGCATCCCTGTGGGGCGGGGAGTAGTCACGGGTGTCCCTGTAGGGAGGGTAGTCCCGGGTGTCCCTGTATTCTCGGTACATGGGAGGCGGAGACCTGCGGTAGCTGTTTCCATAGTAGTCGTCACGACCGTAGCCTCCTCTGCGGAATCTACCTCCACACTGCATCTCTCTGCGCTCATAGCGATGGCCTGTCCAAGGAAAATTGCAAGTAAACCATAAGTTGTAATTAACCAGGCATATACGTACATCATATATACATATAGTAAGAACATGCAGAAATGAAAAGGAGCACTGAGATGGAAGTTATGGTGTAAATTCAAGGGCCAACAATGGAGACCACAAGCTTGGTCTGCTTTTCATACCCAGATAGCTCCCAGGAGTAGGCGTCCTTGGGCGGCCTCTGCGTGACTGAAACAACAATAACAACAATCAGTACAATATCAGGCTCCAAGCTAAAGAAAGAAGGAAAATAAATATCATGCTGGATTGTGTAGGAAATTATGAGTTTCCCTTACGATCGGCGGATATACACCCTGCATTAACGGACCAAGGAGGAAGGAAATACTTAATGAAGAGCACAAACTCCAACTAGCAGACATCCAACATTGCTATGCATATGTCACCAGACAACTTGACTAAAGTGTTGGAAATGCCCGTTGATTAGTTGATGGGGAGTTGAAGGTGAATGCTCAGGTTTAGTTGAAAATTTGCTACGTTTAGTTGTTGTGAATCTCGTGTTGCATAGTAACCCTTTGGGCTGTCCATTGATCAAGCTGTATGAGCTAAAGTTGAAATTGATGAACTCAGCATCTTGATTGCTGGCACATAGCTTGCACAATGTCTTCTGAATAACCACCAAAAAACCTCCAGGTCAACACACATGAAATACAAGGTTGCATCTGAACCAACAAGACGACAACCCATGTGGACACACAAACAATTACCTTTTCAACTGTGATGTTCCGGCCTTGCAGTTCTGACTGGTTGAGATACTTGATGCAGCGTTCAGCATCTTCAACAGTGTCCATGGTGATGAAAGCAAATCCACGAGAAACACGTGTGTGGGGTTCAAGAACAACATGACAAGAAACCACCTGACAAATAAGAGATGTCATAACTTAGTACCTCAAAAGGAAAAACAGATCTGCAAACTTACATGAAACCAAGTAACTAACCTTTCCTTCCTTATTGAAGTACTCTCTAAGTTCTTTATCAGTCACCCTAGAAGAAAGTCCAGTAATGTACAGAGTATTTCCATGATTTACAGCTTCAGGCTCCCGCTCCCTGGGGAATGATACAGATTAAGCATGTACAAATTACATATGATGAATTAATGGTCATTCAATTCAGACTTTTGAAGTATATGCCACATTTAGGAAAATCTGTAGAAATATGTTCTGTTCCTTTTATCTTATGCGTTTCAGAAAGTTTAGATATTGCCACACCATAAATTATTTATTTTTTCATGGATAGAATTCCAGTTCCCTATAGCAGGAGCTATTACAATCCTAGAATGCATTTATTACATGGCAATATCTATTCCCTGTTAAACTTCATCCAACAAGTTATAAGATCATTAGCCATTACGCCACTAGCTACTTACTACATGATGTGGTTTTGTATGGCATGGCTATTATAATATGACTTCTAACCATCACAAACATTGTATACAACTAATACCATGTGATTCACCTACCCACACCATATAAGCTGATATAATAGGATGGCCAATTTGTAACCAATTTAAATATACTCCTATCCTACAAACATTATATGGAATTTACGCCACAAGTGTACAGGCTATTATAACATAAATTTAGCTATCATGAACAAAACTCTCAACAGCACGAACATGTTGCACATGATATTGCAAGAATAAAAGTTAATCTTTGATTCGGTTTTTGGTATAAAAAACAGAATAGGCAGACCACATGGAGTACATGCAGCATTAGCGAATTGAACAAGGAATCCACACCTCGCAGGGCTTCGAGATCTTGACCTCGCCTGAGCTCTAGGATCAGGCGATGGAGATCTAGACTGGGATTGAGCTACAGGTGATCTTGACCTTGACATTTGCTTTTGGCGTCCCTTATAAGGAGAAGGGGACCTTGAGGGCCTTGTGTACCTGGAAGTACGAAACAATCAATAGACTGCTCAACAAATTCTGAGAAAGATATTTTCTTCCCTAACATTTTCCTATAGTAATCTACTTGGCTTGCCAAGGAGAACAAAGCACATTGGATAGCAGAGCACAGCCATAACTTTGTGTAACTTCACAAATATTGTGAAGGCCTTGTGTCCAATGAACTGCTTGCCTAACGAAACACTGAGCGAATACATATTATGAGAAATGGATAGAGGAATAAGGGCAGTAAGTAACATGTAGTCAGTTTTAGCTCTGTATGTGGACTACTGGAGTTCATTGAGTAATCTGTTCGCGTAAAACCTCCTACTTCTTATAGGGGCCGTTTGGTTGGCGTCCAGGACCCTACCAAACCAGGGTGAGCCAATTAATTGGCGCAGAAATCAGGCACCACTGGCTTGCCAAAGGCACAGGTGTGAAAAATGAACTGAGGACGAAAATCTTGTCAGCGGCTGGAAAAACTGGCTTAAATCCAAACAAATGCCCTGGCCAGTAGTCAACGCCAAATTCTGGCATGGCTGCTCACGGCTGCCATCCAAACAGACCCCTTAGCCTCTAAGACAGATCTAGTTGACGCACATTTGCAACAAACTAGGCATAGGTGCGTGGGGGTGTGTGTACATCCCCACATCCCCTGCTGAGCTGCGTTTCAGATCTGAACCCCAATCAGGCATTTGATATGCTGTTATACTCTAGTTTATCAGTAACCACTTAAACTCTGAAGTTTGTTTTTTTGGCAAACCTAATCCCATGATGCTACCATAAACTTGCACGCTCTGGAGTTATGTTAGATTAAGGTGGGTGAAACAGTGCGTCTATATCTATATATCAGCAAGGCAAGTGTTACAGTATAACAAACAGTAAAACTGCTAGAGCTTGGGGAACTACCATCATGAGCACCATAGAAAAGTTAGCAGCAAACATAATAACTTGCAGTAAATCCCACCGACGGGACCGGCAGATAACGAGATCCACGCACGGCTACTTCACTCGCAACACACATCCAGTCCGTCAAAATCTGACAAACCACAATACAGCCCGAAAAGAAGAGGCAGACAGCGAGATCCGCAGCTACGACGCAACAGGATACGCATCCTCTGATTCCCCGTGTCGCCCTACGCCTACCGACGCCAGCCAATCGATCCCCTAATAAACCGAAGCTACGGCTCGCTCCTAGCGGAACCCCTAGACCCGGATCAGAGCGGGCGCCCAACGAACTCGGAAACAAATTCAAACCAGGCACCAAATCAGATAGGGGGAGAAAGAGAGGGCGAGAGAGAGAGGGTGGGTGAGAGATCCGAGGAGGCCGGCGTCGCCATTTACCTCCGGCGCGGGGAATCGGCCTGCGAAGAGAAGAGGAGCCGTCAGCACGGAGACAGACAAACCGAGGGAGGGACTCGGGAACGGGAGCGGCGAGGGGAAGGGGCTCACCATGGCGCGGCGAACGGGACGGCGGAGACGGCGGGGTGCGCGGGGGAGGAAGGGGCGGGGCGGGGCTAGGGTTTCGGCTGCGCGTCGGGCGTGCGATGCGGTTGGGTTGCCGGAATGGGTTTCGCTGGTTCGATTTGGTTTGTGTAGGCGGGGGTCGGGCCGGGGAGGAGCCCGGTTCCGGTTGGGCCCCGACGCGCGCGGCCCAGGCCCAACAGGCGCGGGGCTCGGCAGGCCCAGCATCATCAGGCCATTAGCTTCGCTCCCAAAAAAAACAGGAAGCAGCAGCAGTGGCAGCACCGGCAGAGGGGAGGAGAAGAGGAGCCCTCGCGGCGGCGGAGGAGGGAGGAGGAGGCGATGCCGGCGGAGGGGACGCGGGTGGCGGGGCTGCGCGCGCGCGAGGACGGGCGCCTCCCGCCCAAGGCGCTTCGCCGGCGCCGTCATGGCCTCCGAGGTCCGTCCGTCTCTATCCATCCGACCTTCAAATCGAACTAAGATAAGCCTCTACTGCAGCGCAGAGATCTGCCGCGCAGTTGATCTATGCTTGGCTAGTCTCTCCAGTCCGGAACACCAAGTCAGTCCGTAGATTTTTTTTCTTTCAGACAAAAAAAAGGGCCAGTGTGCAACTAATCAATCGCTCAGCTGTTTTCTCCTTGGCAGATGACAGTACTTACATACAGTGGCGAATCTTGGAAGAAAATCGAGGGCGGGCTCAAAGTTATCGGTGTGAAAAAAAACCACTAACTCCTAATTCTTTTGCCCAAAGAAGGTTAAAATTTGCCAGAATTATTTGAAATATGAAATTTTGAACAAAAAATTGGTTCTGTTTAGCAAAATAGCCAATATCTCAAAATCTTGTAGCCCAAATTATTGAACCCACCAAGATAAAAAGAACAAGCGCTGTTGAAATGTCTGTTGAAATCTCTAGAAAGACAAATATTTAGGAACGGAGGGAGTACTTGAGTTTTCAGCGGCTTTATTGAACCCACCAAGATAAAAAGAACAAGCGCTGTTGCGCGTAATGATTTTTGCTAAAACAAATGCTGTAATCGTCAGATGCATCATCGCGGGTGGGTTTTCCTTTCTTTTTTTTGTCGTTGCGCCAGTAGGGTGTGTCGCATAAGCCAAACAAAAAAAAGAAGCAAAATAAGAAGTTGTGGCACATGTGCATTTATGTCGAGCCGATGCAAGTTTACACTTGGGGAGATGTTGGATGATATGCCTCGGTACTAGAATGTGCTGCGTGCACGGATTTCACGCTGCAGGCAATCGATCCGTTCTAATGGTGTCAGCATCTGCAAGTCGTGGCTAGAAAGTGAGGTCTTGTTTTCAAGAGTTTGTTGCAAAAGTACAACGCTCCTAACGTCGGCCTTTTTTCTTTCATTCGAGTCGAGAGTACACTTGACCTTCTGTTTGGCTTGCCGTGCAGGATTTTGTGCATTCGCTGGGCATCCAGAGGAGGCTGCGGAAGCAAGCGTACCGTCAACACCATAAGCTTCAACAGCAGCGGGAGCTTGCTCCTGTCTGCTTCAAACGACGAGACCGCCGTGCTGTGGAGCACGGAAGAGGCGGCGCCGGCACTAATGTTCCACACCGGCCACGGTAGTGATGTGCTGCACGCGCAGTTCATGCCCTTATCGCACGACCGGAGCATCGTCACCTGCGGCGCTGATGCGGAGGTAAGGCACACGCCGAGTGCTTGAGTGGTTCCACCATATATGTTTATCTTGAGCTTTCAACATTGCTTATAATGGTCATGGCTTTGCCTATTTGTTTGTGGCCGTTGAACAGGTAAGGCATTCGCACGTGCAACAAGGGGGGTCGGTGTTGACGGATAAGCTTGCGAACCTGGGGTGCATGGTGCACCAGCTTGCTGTTGAACCTGGCAGTCCTCACAAGTTCTTTAGCTGCGTGGTTGATGGCTCCGTTTGGCATGTACGTTGTTAACTTAGTTCCCACTCTTCTTTTTTGTAATTATTGTTTCTCGATTCCTTTGTTGCTGACGTTGTTGTCTTCCCCTCCAGTTTGACCTCAGGGAGAAACATCCCAGGAAGCTCTTTAGTTGTGGTGCGGTTAGAAGGTTTGATTACTTATCAGGCGATACCATGTACCTCTGTGCCATTGCCGTAGACCCAAGAAACCACTCTTGTTTTGCAGTTGCCGGAGGTGATGAGTACGTACGGTTGTATGATGCCCGTAAGATTGAAATGGAAAGGTCTAAATTTGGCCTCCCGGTTGAGCAATTCTGCCCTCAACATTTGGTTTCCGAGAAGGGAGATGTGATCACTGGTTTGGCTTACTCACAGACCGGCGAGCTTTTAGCATCCTATCGTAACGACAGCATCTACCTTTTCGAGAGAGAACATGGGTTGTACTTCAACGATTTTGACGAATTTCACAGTGAGAAGTTACCTGTACCTCGGAGCTTCAAGGGACACCTGAACATGCAAGTTCTTAGAGGTGTTAGCTTCCTTGGTCCCAACTGTGAGTATGTTGCCTCTGGATCAGACTGTGGCCATGTATTTATTTGGAGAAAGAAGGATGGGGAGCTTATCCGAATGTTGAAAGGAGATACACGGAGTGTGAACTGCGTTGAACAACACCCTCATGAGATTGTTATTGCAAGTTGTGGCACCAATACAGACATCAAGATTTGGGCACCTGGTGATAGTGAGAACCCCTCCACTGCTCCCCTTGATGAGGTGTGTTCTCTTTTTTACTCACATACTGCGTGTTTCACATGGATTGTTATCTTCTTTGGCGACACAGCTTGTCATATAGAGTCTAATGTGCCGGGTATGCTTGCTTCACAGTATTGTACATAAAACTTGTATAGACAATTGCTTTGCTTGGGATATGTTTGTGCCTTTCGATTTTGAACGGAGGTGAAGCAAGTGTGTTGTCCGACGCTCCTTATTTTAGATTTAAATTGTGAACGTCCGAAATGAAAAGGGTGCTTCATTTGCACTATGACTTTGTGATATCAGAAGCAAGCAGTTTATTTTCATCACAAAGATGCTAAATAGTGGGGGACCAATTTTAATTCTGTGCAGACATGCTTTGTACTTGATCGAAAGGTCAAAATCAAGTAGTATGTACCATCGTGTGAGATATCACTTTCAGCTGTCCTACTTGCAAACTGTCTTGTCGGAACAATGTTAGGAATTTCAGTATTCCATCTCTGTTTGCGTTATTATTGCTATATATCCAGAGACGAATGCGTGATTGATAATACAGTTTTGACATCTGAATTTGACTTTATGAAGGTTGATGTTTTTTTATGTTTATGTCTGTTGTAATTTTGTATTTATTTTTTGTTAGTTCAATCGTGAGTGATCCCATTAGTGTGGTGTAAGTTGCGAGATTAGCCTAACCCCACTTTGCATTTCCAATGCAGCTACTTTGAATCTTCATCGAGGCACATTAACTTCCCACTGGGAAATAATACAAAAGTACTCCCTCTGTCTCAAAATAAGTGACTCAACTTTACACTAACTTTAGTATAAAGCTAGTGCAAAGTCGAGTCACTTATTTTGGGACGGAGGGAGTATAACATAAGGTCTCAATTATATAAATTTTGAATTCTCAATATAACCAATTTGATTTATTTCTCATCTGTCGCATGGGCAGTCATTCTAATTACTCTGTTGAATTTTTGTCCTTTCAAAAGGACTTTGTTGACGAAGGTGACTATATGTTATCCGCGCGTTATGATTCATCGTCGTCTGATGAGGATGAGGATGAGGATGAGGATGAGGATGAGGATGATGATGAAGAGGATGACGACTATGGCGATGATGATGAAGATGAGGATGATGGCGAAATTTGGACAGATATAGAGATGCAGATGGGGAGAAACTTACTGAAGCCGATAGCGGATATATGAATGGAAGTATGATGAGGGTATCGTTGGCATTATAGTGAGGATGGAGATCGTGTGAAGCTATTATTTCTATCTAAGAGGTGATTTTAGGGAATCTAAGAGTTGTTCTTGGTTTCCTCTTGTGTGATTAGTTAGGTTGTGTATTGTTAGGTTACCATCAAGTGCTTCCTCTTCACTCTCTAGCAGAACCATTTTTTGTATATATTCTTTTTTTTATGTGACACTGTATATATTCTTTGTTCTAGTTGATTGTTCTGATGTTAAATTAATGTTCCCAGACCGCAATTATCTTGTGAGCGAGTACTGCGTATGAACATTTTGGACGGTAACAGATGCTCCTGTTTTCTGGATGTTTTTTGGAGGGAAAAAGTTTGCTTGGTTGAAATTTGAAATCGAGACTGAACTCGTAATTTTGCTTTTCAGGGTTTAATAATTCGGGCCTATTTCTTTTTCGACGTCTCATTTAGCCTATTCGAACTAAAACACGGTCCACGGTAAACTCCCTTTTCTAGTCTAGGGTGAACATGCCTAGGATTACCGCATTTCTCAAGAAAAAACGTTTGGGGCAACTTTTTCTAGGGTACACATTTGTTTGGGGCAGGCATTCATTGCCCCAGGGAAGTCATCTTTTTTTTTCTTTTTTTCTTTTTTTTTTGAGAAATAGTCATCTAGTTATCAGCGGGCCAGGCCCAACCAAATTTCACGCCGGGGCCGAGGCCCAACAGAGCCACGCCTGGGTTTCGGCCCCCGTAGTTCGGAGATGGACGGCCAGATCTGTCCTCCCCGTCCCCGGTCACCGCCATGGGCCTCTCCTCCCCCGTCTTCCCCCCCGGTCCCCGTGAACAAGGCGAAGAAGCTGAGAAACCCTCGCGGCGGCGGCGGCGGCGGAGGCGATGCCGGCGGAGGGGACCCGGATGGCCGGGCTGTGGGAGCGGGAGGTCGGCCGCCTCCGGCCCAAGCGCTTCGCCGACTCCGTCAGGGCCTCCGAGGTCCGCCCCCCCTCCCCTCCTCTCCCCACTCCTCCACCCTTCTCCTTCCTGCCCCCGCCCCGAAATCGAGCTGGATTAGGCCGACCTAGCGAGATTCACCGCGGTTAACCTAGGATTAGAGCACTCCCGCAGCTCCCCGTTTGCTGACTCCATGGCGGGCCATCGCCTTCTTGTAGTATTTTCTACAGTAATTAAGCTGTTGCTTTCTGTAACAATGGTGCCTGCTTGGCTGGCTGGCCTGGCGATGTGCAGGACTTTGTGAATTCCCTCGGCATACAGAAGCGGCTGCAGGAGCACCGGGGCTGCGTCAACACCATAAGCTTCAACAGCACGGGGAGCCTGCTGCTGTCCGGGTCGGACGACCGCACCGTCGTGCTGTGGGACTGGGAGCGAGCCAAGCCGGCCCTGCAGATCCACACCGGCCACGAGAACAACGTGCTCCACGCGCAGTTCATGCCCCTCTCGGACGACCGGAGCATCGTCACCTGCGGCGCCGACGGGGAGGTGTGTACATACACCCTTAATCGACGCTTCTATCCATCCATGTTCATTTTGTGTAAAGCGTGCGTTTACGTTGCTCACGCTGTCATGGTTTGGGTATTTGCTCTGGCTGCGAAACAGGTGCGGTACGTGCAGATAGAGGAAGGGGGCCGTGCGGTCGTGGATCAGGTCGTCGAGACGGAGTATGCGGTGCACAGGTTGGCCGTCGAGCCAGGGAGCCCCCACACCTTCTATAGCGCCGGGCAAGATGGATCCGTGTGGCGCGTAAGTTGTTGTTAACTTGCTGCTTCCTTCGTTCGGTAATTTTGTTATTTATCATTGTTGGATGGATCCCTTTGTTGTTCACTTCCTTCTCCTTCCAGTTTGACCTAAGGGGGAAACAGTCGAAGGAGCTCTTTAAAGTTGGGGTGATTTACGATGATGGTGTGAATGATGCCCTTGACCTCTACGCCGTGGCTGTAGACCCAAGAAATCCATATCGTGTGGCAGTCTCTGGATCCGATGAGTTTGTGAGGTTATATGACACCCGTAAGTATCTGCACGGGGATTTCGGTTGCCCAATTGAGTACTTCTGCCCTCCGGGTTTGATTACTAAAAACGAAGATGGAATAACCGGTCTGGCATTCTCGCAGACCGGCGAGATATTAGCGTCATATAGTTGTGACAATATCTACCTTTTTGAGAGAGAGCATGGGTTGCACTTCAACGATTTTAAGGTTGGCGTATTGCCCCTGTTTGGTGATGGTGTGGGTGCCGCCTTACCTCTTTATAAAGACAAGCTGCCTGAACCTCAGTCTTTCGTGGGACACCATAACAAGCAAACCGTTAAGGGTGTCAACTTCCTTGGTCCCAATTGTGACTATGTTGCCTCTGGATCAGACTGTGGCCATGTATTTATTTGGAGAAAGAAGGATGGGGAGCTCATGCGAGCGATGAAAGGAGATAAACGGATCGTCAACTGTGTTGAACAGCATCCTTCTGAGATTGTTGTTGCAAGCAGCGGCATTGCTACAGACGTCAAGATTTGGGCACCTGGTGATTGTGACCCCTCCATGATTGACTTTGATGAGGTTCGTTCTCTGTTCTACTCAAAAAACTTGTGTTTCTCACTGATCATTACATTCTTCCATGCATAACTTGTTAGATATATGGCCTAATATGTAGAGTAGGCCTGATTCCGCGTTTATGCATAGCACTTATTGAACGTTTTTTCATTTTTGAGAAATGAAAAGGTTGGCCTTCTCCTCTCACACTTTAATATGTTAGACGCACCTCAAATATGTCCATTGCAATGCGGAACCATATGCTGGCATAATGACATACTCTACATGCTATACTAGGCGGCGTTCCATCTGGCCCAGTGTCTACCGCTTTGTGTTCTGCCTTACTTTTACCAGAGGTTTGTTGTGACAGGGCTGGAAAAACATCCACAAGTCGTATCTTGCATTTTTTTTTGACACCTGAAACACGTATCTTGCGGTGATATCCAGTGATACAAATATATCATCGGTGACAGAATACTGACATGTGGATTTTTTACCTTTTCATTTTGATGAAGGACGACGCAGACACGTTCATGTTCAGCAGCATGAGCGACGATGACTCAGACATCTCGGACTTGATGGACGATTTTATCTTTGCGCCCCCGGGCTCCGGCTCCTCCGATGGGGATGATGATGCTGAGGACACGGACGACGACGATGATGATGAGGGCGATGAAGAGGAGGATGAGGAGGGCGTTACATCAGACGGAGATTCGGGCGACGAAGACGACGAGGGGGGTGGCGGCGCCGAAGACATGAACGACGATGATTGATCGTAGCAGCCTCATAGCACTCTTCACTTGAAACAAGGGCGTCCTTTTGACCCCCGCAACAATAGCTCTCTTGTACATAGGCACTCTCCGGTCCAGGATAGTTGAGTGGTGATAGTGTTGGTGTAAATGTTTGCTGTGGGTAAAATGCACTCATCTGATACTATGGTTTATACATCCCTGTTCTTGGCCAAAGAAAGAAAGAAGACGACGATGAAATCGAGCGGTTTCGCGTGTTTTTGAAACGCGCCCTTGCCCGGTCTCGTTTGATTCGCATGAATTTCGTTTGAATTTCCCACGGTTTGGTGATGACTGGTGACAATTTTGGAGAAAAAAGATCTCCAGGTTCAGACTTCAGAGAGCTCCTGTGACTCGGCTCTGAGGCTGACATCTCACGTGGGGCGGTGGGCCCGGCGCGCGCGCGCTGATCCTCACCCCAAACGCATTGAGACGCATTTGTCTTTCCTTCTCTCTCACCAGTTGCCACCGGGCCGGAGAGGGGGAAAAAAGGGAATCTGCTCGCCGCCGTCGCCGATGGAGTCCGTCGCGATCGCCACCACCTCCCGCGCCCTGCCGCCGCCCTTCCCCTCCGCGGCTCCCCGGCGCCGGCGCCGCGCCGCCTCCTTCGTCCCGGTCGCAGCCGCCTCCAAGCGTGCGTATCCCTATCCCACCGGTCTCATTTCTGCTGCCGCTGCGCCGGTGCTCATGTGTCCCCGTTTGCCTTGCAGGGAGAGACGGCGGCGAGGGGGAGGATGCCGGAGCCCACAAGCCGTCCAGGCGGCCGTCTTCGGGGGCCGAGCCCACAGGCCTCGCGCCGTACGGCCTCTCCTTCTCGCCCTTCTCCAAGGTACGGACGTCGGCGGCGGTGTCCGGCCCCCCACCGATCTCGCCCTCTAGCCACGCGATCCGACGCGCCTTCCTCTGATTTTCCCCGCTTACTCGTTCGATTTAGCCTACATGTCGCTGTTGGATCAAACTCCATGTCTTGTGTCTGATGTGGTGGTCGATTCGCGGCGGATTTGCCCGCGATCCCGACGGTTTTCAGCCTCGATTCGTGTTGCAGCACGCCGATTGATTTGTTCCTTGGATAGCACTCCGAATTATCAGCGTGGGCTGGAATCAGTGCTCTGGTTTTTGCCGGGGGTGCATCAATATGTTCTCCCAAGGCATCAGCTGACAGTTAAGCTGTTGCTAATTGGATCGTTGTGGCATCTGCAGGACGCTGCCATGGGGCTGGTGATGAGCGCCGCGACGGGGAGCGGCTGGACGACAGGGTCGGGGATGGAGGGCCCACCGATGGCCGGCGGCGCCGCGAACCGGCCGGAGGTGTCGACGCTGCCGTGGTCGCTCTTCACAAAGTCCCCGCGGCGGCGGATGCGGGTGGCCTTCACCTGCAACGTCTGCGGGCAGCGCACCACGCGCGCCATCAACCCGCACGCCTACACCGACGGCACCGTGTTCGTTCAGGTATATATTGCCACTGTCAATTGTTGGATGACTAGCAAGATGCCCGTGCTACGCTACGGGATAAGAAATGATCAGGTGGACTTATAGTCAGGAGCTGGTATATGCTACTAATGGTAATAAAAATGTACCAAGCACTAATCAAAGTGACAATATATTATTGATAGGTACACATCAAGCACAGTCAAACATATGGTTTCCAATCGATAAACCTCTTCGTCCAAGCGAAACATTTTCTTCTTCATCTTTGCCTCACGGGAGGATTTGTTCTCCATGCTCATCTCATTGCTCGCTCTATCGTATATCGAGGTGGTGACAGAGATCATGCAACAATAAGAAAATCCGTCCACATACATGTGACAACTGAGACAGACACTAACCATCTTAATTTTCTAGTTTCTCTTCCTATCCTTGTCTGCTTAATTTTCTACTTTCGACAATAGATTGATTATTTGCTCGGACAATAGCCAAGTCATCGAAGTCATGAATAGCAGCTTGCACTGGCGGGCAGTGTTGCAGCAGTTGCCAATGATAGTTATTTCTTGTCTTCAGAGTTTACCAAAGTGGTGTTTGAACATGAGTATCGAGTGGCGGATGCTATTGCCCATGAACTGGTCCGTCTTCCGATGTTTAATGAAGCTACTTGTTGGATTGAAGTACCACCACCATCAATTCTATCTCTTTTAGGAACATTATAATGATGTATACGAATGAATAAAGAGGCATTTTTATTTTAAAAAAACAAGGGACCTAGTAATGTGTCCTTTTGGGGAACAAAAGAAGAAAGGGTAAAAAACCAGGAGGTGAACCTTACCAATCTAATGCACAAAATAGAGTGGTACAAATTAAAATCAGGACTTTATTGTGCACTGCATTACCAATGAAAATATCACATGATTTTGTTTCTTAAAACCAATAATCTCATGAAACATACATGACTCGACACAAGAAACGCGTCGTCATGAAGTTGCGTCGTGAAAAATTAACAATCTAATCGATTGTTATTAAGCTTAGACACGCAAGAATATGACAGTAGTAACACGACATATATCTCCCCCGCCACAAAGTAGAGTATCAAAGACTATCTCCCATCACTATACAAAATCATAGTATCCAACTTTTCTACAAAGCAGCGCGTCCCCAAGCGTAGGAAATCGGACAAACTTTCAGGCTCTGCTTCACCCTCTCAGTGCACCACATACCTCCACTCCACTCACCACACCCTCTCAGTGTATCAGATAGGTGCCTTGGTATATGTTACATCTTAGAAATAAATGGTCAACGTACATCAAGAAACTGGAGGCAATGGTCCTGGCAGGAAACCTTTGCTGTATATATATCATTGGATTACTACTTAGTTGAACAAACTTTCACCTGCTTCTTACATTAGATAAAGCAGGGATTGACTGTAACACGATGAAAACCAAAGTCACCTACTGCCTGCTACTGCTTGCTACTTGAGCAAAACATAAAAAATAATGTTCTGACTATATTCTTGGGGAACTCTGCACTTAGTAAGATCAGGATCTCCTGACTATATTTTAACATACTTCAGTTTATCTTTAAAAAAATCATGCTGACGCTGATGCTTATTATAATTACCTTCCTTGGTGAAAAATATTTTCTGTAAAAAAATACCAACTGGCTTAAAAGATCAAGCATAATCATTTTAGGCTAGTTCTTATGATACGAGGTGCTGGAATGATTACATGTGGATCTTAATCTGACAAATATGACTACTGATAAATAAAAAATATCATCCTCACCTATGCCATGAATTAGTTATTGTGCAAACAGTTGCCGCCATAGTCATCCTTGCAGCAGTAACTGCGGCACAACACCTTGCACGTTCCTACATTCCCCGTGCTCGCCCATCTTTGTGTCACTATCATGCACCTCGCCCTTGCTGCCACAACCCTGAAATTCAGAAATAGCTGATCCCAACAATGCAAATTTTCTTTCAGAAAATTTAGAAGTACAAAACCCCTACAAAAATCAAAATTGACCTGACACCTATGCAGTAGTTTACAATCACCAAATCAGACATATGAAGAATGCTCAAAGGTTGGCACTAACCCTGACCAAAAGATTAGCTTTGCATAAGTAAACTACCCTGCAAAATTTTGCCACTTGAACCTTCCAGTCATACAAATAATTTCACTACTCTTTAAAAGGTGGCTAACTCCATTCGGTCAGCTTGAAATCCAACAGATAACTAAGTACTTGGTTGGTTTCTCTGTGAGATGAAACATTAATCCTCATGGCCATCACCACATGTGCATAAAGGAAGAAATAATTTGTAGTTTTACCTCATAGCCAGAATGCACAATAGTTATGCACATATAAATGTCTAAAGTATGAAGGAACGATGATATGCATTGACAACCACATTGCAAATATAATACTTTCACACAAATTAAACTATCCTGCAAACCAGCCACCAAATCACTTCAGTATGAACACAAAAATGACCAAACAACACACTAATTAAGTGAAAGCAATGATCTCGCATTCGGTGGCTGTAACATTTTGGCGTAATACCTGCATGCTCCCCCCAAAATGGAGGGTTAGCAAAAAAATAATTAAAACTTTAAAGTGCAAAAAGGATTTCACAAGAGCCTATTACAACAAGCAGAGGCCTAATAATAAGCTTCACAACTTGCAGATGGCAATGGGAAAAGAAAACACACTGATAACATGTTCAAAACCATGAAATATGAAGCATGTTCCACTTCTTATGCAGTAGGTTGGCCGACACCATGGATGAGCAGAGCACAGCCGGCGAGATACCTAAGGAGGTCAGTGTCGGAGGAGACGACGATGAGGAAGTGGAGGTGGTGGGAGTGGGAAGTACGGCTGCTGGATCAATAAAGGGTGGAGGTAGGAGAGGCGTTGTGGCACTGATGGCGCCGGCGGCGTACTTGTGGTGGCTGGGAACAAAGGAGATGGGGAGGAGTGGAGGGGATGACGAGGAGCACGGGGAGGTGGCGGTGATGGGAGTGCTAACTGCGGTGTTAGAGGAGAACGCAGGAGAGGCGTCCGCAGATGGACGACTTCGACGGCGTGCTTGCCGAGGTCGGCGTTGGAGGAGACGGGAAAGGGTAGAGAGGACGTTGAGGTGGAGGTGCGTCATGGTGGTGGGCGGTGGGGCTGAGAAGCATGAGAGGCGCAGGAGGTGGACGGCGCCAGCAGCAGCCGCCTCGCGCCGCTGCCAGATCGATTTAAGTGATGTCCATCGGTGATTCGATTTGTTTCCAGATGGTTCCAGGAGTTGGGAGAGAGAAGCCTGAACAAGAAAGATGTGGTTGAGGGGTTATGTGCAAATGAGCAGCAGACTGATTTGTGTGCGTTAGATACTGATCCGACGATCCTAAATGATGGATGGCAGACACACCATCATCACCAACTCAGAATTTTATAGGAGTAGAGATAAGTATCCAGGTTGAGCTGACACTAACACTGTCTTAAGCAATTGGACTGAGACGAATTTTACAGTAGTTGGCTTTATTTTCATACGATGACAAGAGTTGATGAATATTCAGGCATACTAGTAGTGTAGTTACTGTAGGACATATGCTGTTGCATAGAATTTGCCTTTTCATATATCTGTGGCATTGAACTTGAAGAAGGTTAGTCCATCAACAGTATACTTTTATGCTATCATGAGATGAGCTCCAAAGATCAATATAGCAGTGTGATACATATTCTGGGTATCATTTCAGTGTAGGATTATGTTCTTTCAACCTGTAGACATTTAGATGCATAAAATCAAAAGGCTCAAATAAGCATGCAGTTTGAGTTAGTTAGCCAATAGCCAGTTATCAGCCACAGTGCCACACAAACCTCTAATCCACTATCCGAATGTACTTTCTTGGTAATACCATGGTGGCCTTTTGCCCTACAAAATCAAACTTGCTTATGGAGTGAGCTAGTAATTGTGCATTATTGCGTTATCTTATTATTTATTGTATGTACTATGAACTCCAGCATATGTTTTTTAATGAGAGTTCCTTCATTCTGGGTATATATATGTTTGCCTTGGTATTATTTACCAAAGCACATCATATCCTAACCTATACGCACTTGCTGAATCTTGTGTGCCTCTGTTGATGCGTCAGTGCTGCGGCTGCAACATCTTCCACAAGCTGGTGGACAACCTGAACCTGTTCCACGAGATGAAGTGCTACGTCGGGCCCGACTTCCGCTACGAGGGGGACGCTCCGTTCAACTACCTTGAGGGTGGGGACGACGGCGGCGGCAACATCTTCCCACTTCTCTAGAGGAAGCTACCTACCCCCCCTGCTGTTCCGGGGCATGGTGGCGCTCTGATCCCGTCTAGCTGTATATTAATAAGCAGACTGTATGTTGTCAATGTGGAAGGTCGCCAGTATATATGTGCATGCAGATGTATGTAAATAGCATAAGCCCAGTGGATAATAATGATGATAATAACAGGATACAAAACATTTTTTCTATGCGTCCGCGCTTCCTTATGCCAAATGGTGCGGTGGTGTCTGGTAAACGAGGTCTCCAGTCGGTCTCTTCTTGTGTGGAATTGGTGTGTGTGTGTGTGTGTGGTCTCTGCCTGTTGTTACATTACCCCTGGGAAAGGGGAAAGCCAGGGCTGCGATTTGAGATGAGAAGAAAACATTACAAATTTACATCAAGGTCTCCGGTTTCAAGGGGACTTTGAACATGCCCGTCTAGAAACCGCGTGTGACCTAGCAGCGGCGCGGCATCTGACCCGTCTTCTGAAGCTGTGTGCTGGATTCAATCTTGCGGTCGCTGTGTGCTGAATTCATCTCATGGTAAAATGTTGCGAAAAAGCGAGCGCCGTGCTGAATCCATCCCTGTAAAATGTTGTGAAAAAGCGAGCACCTGCGGCAGGTTAACACACACACACACACACACACACACACACACACAAAAAAAAACGTAGACACGGTCTCAAAATTGTATACTAGGATCACCCGCAAAAAAATAAAAAATAAAATTCTATACTACAGTAGGTTTTTCTTAATCTGGTGCGGCCTGGAGCACATGAATTTCATCCGAATTTTCCTCTGCTCGGATGCTCTTGAGCGTGTTGTAGTAACTTGTACTCCCTCCGTCCAAATATACTTGTCGAAGAAATGCATAAAAATGAATGTATCTAGAATTAAAATACATCTAGATACATTCATTCCTCCGACGAGTATTTCCGGACGGAGGGAGTAAGTTGTAAGCGAGGGAGGGGAGGAGGAGAAGAGAAGAAAAGCAGCCTCCCTCGCTCACTCCAGTGCCCCTCCCTCCGATCTGGCGCCGCCCAAACCCTAGCCCCCCCGCCCCCGCTGCCACGGGAGGGAAGGAGGAGGAGCAATGGCGAGGCGAGGCAAAGGGGGCGGCGGCGGGGCTGGCGTAGGGGACGCGGCGTGGCGGAGGGGGGCGGCGCGGCCGCGGCTCCTGGCCGTCTCCGCCGTGGCCTGGGCGCTGCTCCTCCTCGCCTTCCACCTCTGGTCCTGCGCCTCCCCCGCCGCCTACTCCCTCTCAGGTCACCCCCTCCTCTCCTCTCCTCTCCTCTCCTGGCCCCCGTGCCCGCCGTGCTTCGTGCTTCCAGTTTGCTGTTACTCGATCGATCGATTGATCGGTCGATCCATGATGCTTGCTACAGCATTGCTATCCGCGTGCATTGGTCTGGGACGAGAGTCCAGTGCGGATTGACTGACGGGGTTGCCCTTTCGATTAATCATACTGCATCGACTTCTGCATCTCCCACCTTGCGTGCCCAAAGCAGGGATGAAATTGTCTTACTGAGTGATCCCGGTGATGAACATGTGCGCCTCATTCGCACGTATGTACATTGATGGCTTTAGCTTAGCATGGGTTCTCTCTCTTCTTATCGATTGCAAGTTGCAGGGGATTCAGTCTCTGACTAGAACTTGCAGCTGATTAACTAACTGATGCATCTCCCTGGCAATTGGCATGCTGCGCATTAGCTTCTTCAATTACGATGCCGTGCTAGTGCTTCTGCTCGAGTTGTTTATTTCGTGCCAAATTCATAAGTTAAATGTACCTGCGTGCGTCTCCATTGGGACTGCTCGTGACTTGACAATTCTGTGTTATCCTGACATGGCTTGCTATGCTTTGCATCCGTGCAGCGTTCTGTAGAAAAGACAGTAGAGTTGTCCACGCGTTGGACCCGATGGGAACCCCGTCCAAACCCCTCCATCGTAAGATTTATTTATACATTTACACTGATGTTTTCTCTTTCATGGCCTAAAATGCTGCTTCTTTCGTTCTACAGGCTGCTCGATACCTGTGGCAGATGATCCAGACGCTGTCGTCATTCCAAAGCGAACTCCCAATGCGATCGTAAAGAAGCTGTCATATTTAACAGTTGACAAACGGGACAAAGATTCTCCGCCGCTGTTCGGAGGACGTCAAACCTGGAAGCAGAGGGAGGAAAGCTTTAAACTGAATGCTACCATGAAGGTAATTGGTGCATTTTGGTTAATTGCCAGAGGGCGATAAAAGTTGGAAAACAACTTCTATGTTTCTGTTTAATTCAGTGTATTTGCGCTTAAACACGCGAGGATATCCTGTCACTTGAACCAGTGGTCTAGTATTAAAGCATGTGCATAACTCTAACTCAGGAATTGCCCCGTTGTACTATTTTTAAAAACTGAAAACTATGTTCTGAATATATTTTGAGCTTCATGTTTGGCCATGCACTTGTTGTTCTCCATCCGTGGCATCTTTGAAGCTTCACAGTTGAGGAGCACATGGTTTTCAAACTGGGTTGGAATTTGGAAGCACCCTTAAGTTCACAATTTACTTGAAACCCTGTTTCAATCTTATGGAGTTTGGTTGCCGCAATTGATAAAATTAATTTTGGGAAATTATGCAGATATTGAGCTTATTTTCAAAAATTAATATTCATTGGCCTACTAAGTTAATTCTTCCAGCAGGTAAATAGTAGAACAAGAGAGTTACTACTCACCAGAATCCACTAAGGTTCGAACACTGGTGGTAGAACTTTGAGTGCCTGCTCACAATATAAAATATCACGTGCCCTCTATTCATTGTGTCTAGAGCAAACTGGCGACATTGGTCTTCCAAGACGAATAGCTTATTACCACCTCTTATCTTCTTCATGTACTGGATCTTCAGTTGTAATTGCATATTTTTTAATTCCCTAAACTTCTTTTTTGGGTGAATGATGTGGCTTCTGGTATATGCTCAGGTGCACTGTGGATTTATGAAAAACAGTGGTGCAGATATGGGTGCTGTTGATTTCGAGTACATACAGAAATGCAAATTCGTGGTTGCCTCGGGTATTTTTGATGGTTATGACGTTCCTCATCAGCCATCAAATATTAGCTTTCGCTCTCAAAAGTTGTTCTGCTTCTTGATGGTGGTCGATGAGGTATCCTTTGACTTCATTGAACAGAATGTCACTGTCAAAGTTGACAGTGCAGGAGGGAAATGGGTTGGTATATGGCGACTTGTAACATTGCACCGCCCTCCATTTGATGAACCTAGAAGGAATGGAAAAGTACCAAAGATATTGACGCATAGACTATTTCCTCAAGCCTGGTATAGCATTTGGATTGATGGGAAAATGGAGCTTATGGTTGATCCGCTGCTTATTCTTGAAAGGTTGGTTGTTTATCTGCAACTTTGTGTAAATTCTTTTTTGTTACGTTGATGCATGAAACAGATTCAACAGGGCAAATTCTTTGCAGATATCTCTGGCGGGGAAAATACACATTTGCAGTAGCTGTCCATAAGCATCATAGAAGCATATATGAAGAGGGTGATGCAATCAAACGGAGGAAGCGATATGCTCGGCCTTTGGTTGATCTTCAGATGAAGATATACTACCACGAGGGGATGGAGCCTTGGGACGAAAAGAAAAGGATGCCTAGTGGTGTGTCCATTTACATTTTCTGCATTAACTTAGACATTTGTTTGAAGCTGTTAAGAAAAGCTTAGGGTACAAAGCTTATTGTACAGCATGAACTAACTGACGAATCATTCCACCTCTTGGGTATTTCTGTTGTGCTACCATAGTTACTCAACTCCCAGTGCTAATCAAACAAGCTGCGACTTGCAGACATACCAGAAGGAGCAGTGCTGATCAGGGAGCACACGACGATAACGGATCTGTTCAGCTGCCTCTGGTTCAACGAAGTCAACCTCTTCACTCCTCGTGACCAGCTCAGCTTCGGCTACGTGGCCCATCGGCTCGGAGACGCTCTCAAGTTCTTCATGTTCCCCAACTGCGAGTACAATTCCCTGTTCATCCTGCACAGACACACGAGGGAGCACTCATCGAAGGTGGAGTGGGCCAAGACGATCGACGAGATTTTGAAGAAGGGACTGAAGGAGAGCAGGGGAGGGTTAGGGCTGTGGACTCCGTACCCCGCAGACCTCAGCTCCGTGGAGCTCCCTGCTGTAAAAAGAACTTCGCAGGCAAGCTAGGCTGGACCGAAATGTTCGATCATGATTCTTTGGTTGTGCAAAGTAGAACACCCCTTTTCTTGGTGTGTTGTAGTCAGGGGAAAATTAATTCTGTAATTTCCAGTAGATTCTGCTGCAGATGACATAGGGATGCACTATAGGCCCAAATTTCTATGGCAAATTTGTAGTAACTACATGTAAAAAGGTTTGAGATGTAATGGATCATGCGTGTTTTTTGCTTTTCCATGTGGCTAACCCATCACCATTTCAGTTTCAGGTTGACTCAAACACAAAAATGGTACACACATCTGTTTCTGAACGTGTATCACAGGGCAGCATAAGAATAATGATAATGAACCACTGCGATAACAAACCCGATCATAGCATTAGACAATGATAATGATAACAAAACCTATCATAGCATCATACAAAATGATAATTACTGTCATTCTTTCAGATTTCACAAATGATTGTTTCTACTTTCTCTGATCTACCACGACTTCTCTACATCCTCAAGAGGGATCACACCAAAATCACTCACAAGAACCAACTTGACCGGAACACGACCGCTGGGGCGCATCGCCTCCCATCCAGGTTGAACATGACACCAGGCTGCAGGGTGGCATTCTGGCCTAGATGTATGTTCAGAAACCCTTCTAGCTGAATCCGCTCTGGCACCCCCTCGGAGCCTCTCCGCAGGCTCACTCCCCAGCCTAGGTCGTTCTCCGGCGTATCCGACAGCGTGACGGCCCATTTCAGCTGCCTCGGGTTCGACCTCTTCACCTCGACCCAGGCCCCGACCCTTGAGTCCTCGTCAAATTTCAGTTCAAGATCGACGCACCCTCCAGCGGTCGGTTTGCTCTTCCGAGGAATCGCAGACGGTCCATGCCAGGCCGCGGACATGGTCAGCTTTATATCGTCACACATCTTGCATGAAATCTGCCCGAATCCTGTGAAGACACTGCTGGCTTCACCATTGCTTTTCGCAGCTGTTGAGATCAACTCCGCGAGAGATGCTGCAAAGTTCTGCGATTTCAGTATCAAGCCAGCAGCGCGCCTGTGACGCTTAAGCAGCAGAGGTGGCCTCAGCGAGGAATGGAAGTTGGGAACCCATTGCCCCTGTCAAAGAAACTATCACCTGATATATCAGCAGGCAAAATGATAGTGTGTAAGCACAGGTGCAAGGATGAAGAAATCAATTACCTCTTGGATGCTTGGATCGGTTGAAAAATCATCACACCTTGCTCCTACCGGCACCGCAGCAACAGAAATGTCGTCGCCGACGATTGCCAGGTACATCACCTTCGACAGCACAAGAGGGCTCCCCATGAGATCATTTTCCTGATAGAAGTATCTGGAATCGGTGGCAAGCTCTGCCAGGAGAGAATCCTTCTTCCGGACACTGGTCCGGAACGCAAACTGTGAACTGATGCCAGAATTTGCTTCTGAGTTGTCTAGTTCCGTGCCTTCTTTGCTGTTTAGTGCTAGGGCTCCGGCGAAATTGACGAGGCCCTTGACCTGGGTGCTCTCTTCCGCAAACGGACCGATTTTGTGAGATTTGAACAGCGTGAGCACCTTCTCGACCTTCTCTTGTCTATCCCTCAGCTGCATTATGTCATAGAACGCTTGTCGCTGCAGACGCTTCAAGATGTCTGTCTGCAGTATACAGCAAAGAGAATAAAAGGCAGAGAGGTCAACACAAGTTGGTTTTCTTGTCGTCTTCCAAATTTACATGAAATCAGAGGATACGAAACATGCGTGTGTTTAAAGGAATGAGAAGAAGAAAAAGCTGTGCTACCAATTGAAAACCAGCTTCGTGCCCCGCCGCCACAATGGTTACAGGTGTATGCTAGAAAAGACAGTGGGTATCTCGAGCCCGGGGGAGAAAAAATTCCCCCCCTCAGCGATGTAATCGAGACACTTTGTTTCCCAGGCTAAGAAACTAGCAGCAAACAACATCTTCTATCCATTCGTTTTTGCAGATCAGCAGATCATCAGACAAGTTTGTGCAGGGAAGAGCTATATATAATCTTCGCAGATATATAATCAGTGCAAGCAAAAGCGCATCCTTTTGCAGGTTATCTACCCTGGTTTGTGGCACCACTATCCACTATGAATAGATTTACATCTGAAGAAGAAGCTACTTCTTCAGTACCACGGCAATTCAGCTCCCTCGGCAGTCGCAAGCAGTAAGCAGCACAGGCCATGGTCATTCCTAACCGAGACGCCGAGCCCGGCCGGCGATGCGCAGAGCGCCCAGACGGGCCGAGCGCATGGCCGGCCGCGGCCGGCATTGTTGTCCTGGCGCCGGGCCACAAACCCTCGGAATTCGTACGGGGCGAGAGGACGGCGAGGGAGGTCGCACGCTTACCGGGTTGGGGCCGGGCTGCGGAGGGGGAGTGCGGCGGAAGGAGAGGAAGAAGCGCCTGGTGGAGTCGGCCACGCCGGCGGCACGGTCCACCGCGCACGCCCACGCCGCGTCCATCCCTTCCCCTGCCCTCCGCACGGACGGCTGCCCTGGCCCCGCGGCCTGCGTTCCGCCTTCTGTCCCGCACTTGCCTCCCTGGCGGCGCTCGCCGGCGGCCGTCGAGCGGGAGCCGCCGGGGCTGAGGGAGACAGGTCAGGACCGGGGGGAGGAGTCTCGAGGCTTCCCTGCTTTTCCTTTCTCCGCTGCTTTCGCCTCGTCGCTTTTGGGTCACGCGAACGGGGTGGGCCGGGCCGCCGGGCCGAGATACGAGTGGACCCGTCTGGGCTTCAGCATTAACACATATTTTTGAATTCTCTGAAAAAACAGATTTAGGAAGTTTTACAGCTATTTCAGTGAAAGTTTAACAAATCACATAACCAAATACTTCTTTGTGTTTGTTTGCAAGTCGATGATTTCTGAAAAATCGTCGCAAATAAAATTTATATCTAGGTAGCATCTTGATTAGAAATGTGTGAAGACTAGTCTAGAAACTGCCTTGAAAGGCCGCCGAGATACGAGCGGGCCGGTCTGGGCTTCAACATCAAGAAGACTTTTATATCCCTGGGCTAGGACATATTTTGGATTTGCTGAAAAGAAAAACATATTCTGAATTCGCTTGAAAAACAGATTCACATTTTTTCTATATGAGACAGCTATTTCAGTGAAAGCTTAACAAATCACCTAACCAAATAGTACTTGTTTGTATCTGTTTAAAAGTCAATGATTTCTGAAACATCCTCGCAAATAAAACAATATGTTTATCTATATAGCGCCTTGCTTAGAAGGAGAAGTGGTAAACAAAATGAGGACTAGTTTGGGAACTGCCTTAAAACACCACCGGGAAAACGAAAGGGAAGAGACCGACTGCGAGAAATCAAACCGCAACGCGTTACATTACATCACATCACATCACATGTCGTGAAACTTGAAGCTACACATATATATATATATATATATATATATATATTTGATAGTAACAAAAGGTAAAGAGAAGACGACGAAAATAGCAGGTGAAAGTTACTGGGCAAACAACATCTCTTATTCATCTCTTTCATCCTTGCTTCTCAACACAACTGTACTAAATTAGCTCGTATACAGACACGGACTAAAGGTCGCCATGCAGATGATGACTGGCTGGAGCAGCGGCCCCGATGAGTGCCATGATCTCGAGGGGGATCAAAGTGGAAGAGCTCTGAGCGACGGTCGGTGTTCAACGAGAGCTGACGAGGAAAGGGTGCTGGCACACACCGCATTCTATCGTCTCAGAGCCAGATGCTGGGACTTGTACCTATAGGAAAGGGTTGATCAAGTTGGGTCAGATGCCGTGTTTCGATGTCGACGCCGAGCAAATGGAAGTCATCCATTATGAAAAGGGATGTGACAGTGATGAACCTGGAGGTGCACTGTGCAGATGGGGCATGCGACCTCTCGCATTCGCTTGCCAGAAGATCCCTCTGAAGATCTTGAGCCTGACAAGGGAGAAACCAACACATTTATTTATAAACACAATAGTGAACACAGAAGAGCGCCGTCTGCAATGGAATAACCATATAAAGACACAAACCTGAAGATGATTTCTTATTTATATCCATTGCTTCCTGTATCAGATCACAGGTTGTGTTACGTCAGCATTTTATTTCAAATCCAGTCAGATACAGTGTGTTGTAGAAATATTGTAAGCTACAGAAATGAAATAAGAAGCCAAAAGGCACACCTGAAGTTTTTTGGCAAGATCCTCATGGCTGTGAACAACAGGTCGATTTGCCGCTTCCTTTGCACTGCTAAGTCTTCGAGAAACTTCAGCCTACAACGGAATAGAAAAAAACATGACATTTGATATCATTCATAAAGAACTCAGAGATGATATAACCTCCCACCAGTAGCAATGCAATAAAGGATGTAAGAAAGAAGACTGCAACAGAGGCTACTTCACAAAAGGAGGGGGATGAACACTGAACATCAGTGCTCACGTTAAACATTGGTAGCTGCTTTTGTCCTTAAACATGACACTTTGAAAAAATTGTGGACGGTATCGGCTAAGAATATAGCCGCTACCTTCAGAGACAAGAAAAGGCACACCATCATTCCCCACAACATGCAGTAACAAGGAATCATAACTAAGATACAATTCCAATTTATATAAGCTTGATATTGTCCAGGTCTCTTGTGCTTTCAATGAGAAATGAAGCTCCAAGTCAAACAGCTAATAGCTATTTAATACTCCATTTCTCCGACTAGTATTTCCGGATGGAGGGAGTATTCAATATCTTAGCCTCAAAACTTACAAAGTTTAAGAACAGACTATTCCAAGTTATTTTATTGTCCATGCTCACTAAACACCACAGAACAACAAAAGGTGTACATAACACAAATCACAACTACGACTGCAATATAAGAGGATGAAACAAGAGAACATTACCATGCATCTGTCGCAAACTCGGACTGGTTGAGAATCAGCATCCGAAGTTAGAGGAGTCCTTCCTTGGGTGCACTTATCACAGAAAATATCACCACAGTTCCGGCAGTGATGCTGAATATACAGGTTAGCAACATTAAAAAATGGATGTCAAGTATACATCATCAACATCTCAATAGCAAAATGTTCTTACCCTGCGGTTGAAGGCACTGAAATCTCCCGCACAGGCTGTGCATTTATTGACCGCTTCATCTGGGACCTGACATTAAAATGCAGAAAACAAGATGATGCCATTAGAAAAAAAAATGAACGAATAAGAACAGGGAAAGAAGAGAAGCACACCCCAAAACACAACCATATACTGAGAGAGTAGCTAAGGATTTCATTTTCATCAGTGGGGCACAAGAGACAAAAATATAGGCAGACAGCAAGCCAGACAACAGTGCAGAGAACAAGCCAGAAAGCAACTGAACAACAACAGAAGCCTTACTGTGCGATACACAAGTGGAAAATACGGGCAGCCATGAACTATAGAACACAACTGGGAAGCCATAAATCAGTCAGCAAACAGGATATTGTTAAGACATACTCCCTCCGTCCAAAAATACTTGTCATCAAAATGGACAAAAAGGCATGTATCTAGAACTAAAATACATCTAGATACATCTCCTTTTATTCATTTTGATGACAAGTATTTCCGGACGGAGGGAGTACAATATTGGGTATGCGGAGTAAATATAAATTAAACATTAACTCTCAACCTTCTCCTAAATATCTTCCATGCATGTCTGATCATACTGCACTCTTTTTATCTGCTAAATTAGTTTCTGCCATAATAAGATGCTTAAAAATGGAGCAGAGTAAATGTTCAAACAGTTCATCAAGAGTTACTAACAGAAACTACACAATCTAGAGAAAAAACACTGCATGAGTCTGCCTAAGCAACTAATATCCAGACAAATAGCCAATGATTAAGTTAGATACCTATATAGTTGTTGGCTCTATAAAATTTCAAATTGGAAATAAGAAGGCACACTTGCAAGCGGGCCTTCATTTCAAACGGAGACAGAGAAAGAAATTACCCAGTGGTCTTTCTCCTCAGTCACAGGCTTCACCAAGTTCCTCCAATCAAGGAAATTCCTCCTCTTCTCATTTTGCTGTTCAGAAGGGCTCGCAGGATCAACAGCTGCTTTACTTCTCGAAACGCTGCTTGCCATCTCCTTGAACTGTGGTTAAAAAAAATCTAACTGTCAACATTTCTCCATAAACAATGGATGCTAACAGCTCAAAATTACAACAAACTGAAGGGTGAAATAAAAAGTATCATTAATTCAGATGCAAACCTGAACAGAGGCAGCTGTCACAGTGTCCAGAATGGTGTTGGTTGTATAGCTGCTTGACTTCAGCCGTATTCTTCTTGCTTCAAGATCAACCGAACTCTTGGACCAAAAGGCAAATACAGAAGAATCCAATACCTAGATACAGATGCTATAATATTTCGTAAAATAACTCACAAAGGAACAGAAGAAATAAAAGCTTTGGGACAAGAACTTGTGACTTACATCCCATCTCGTAACAGTTTCAAGGGGATATATCCTCAGTGTCCTACTAGTGTTGGGATCAAGCATCCGAATCCCATCCAAACCAACCTGCATGAGGTACAAAAAGATAAGCAGTGATTCTCGGTTGATTACTCTAGGCAATGGTGCAACCAAGTACAACAGCATAACAACCCTACTCTACTCCAGGGTGCAATGAAGTCAGATTTTTCAAGAAACTAAATGAAGCCTGATTACTAATCAACAAAATACCCATCCCATGGTTCCTTGTATTTCCTTGCAGTTGATTAGCCAAGAATTAACAGCTCCACTTGGCCTTTGTTCTGACCTAGACTTACATGCCAGATTGTTCATTTTTTTTCCATTCAAAAACTACCTAACAAATCACAGGATCGCTTCAGTCTATGCAGATATTTCTCCAAAAAAACAGGTCCAAACAAAGCTCCTTGCATCAATTTGGTAAAATTAAATCATTCCAACCTTTTTCATCAAAGCATAAGTTTTGTTAGTTAGCAAGTTTATCTACTGCTCGTTATTTACCCATGCTGCAAATTTTCAGCTATGTCCTATACAAGCTTTAAGCAAACGATGCTACGCAAAAGAGCATTCCTAGCAAAAGCATATAAACTCCATGGACCTTGGTCCAAACTCCGCACTATAGGATCATTTTCTGTCGAAACTAGCCACTGAGAAGTGAGAAGAGCTCTGCCTTGGCTACAACCATTTGTTCATCATGCCAATGCAGAGCAAACTACTTACCTGGCACAGCACATCCATGGGGCTACCGGCGCCCTCGGGCAGCAGCTTGACCCGGAACTTCTGCACCCCGCCCCTCACGTCCTCCGACGTCTCCGCCTTCGGCACGGCCCTCACCACCTTGGCGCTCGCCGCGCCGCCCCCACCCCCACCACCCCTGTCCTTCCCGGGACCAATCGACCTCCCGTAATCGTCGAACAGCGCCGCGTTCCCGGAGCCCTGCCTCGGCGCGGTGCCCCTGGCGCCGTAGGGCTCCGGCGCATCGCCGCCGCGGTACGCGTACGCGCCGTCGTCGGACCACCCGCCCGCCGCCGCGGCCGAGGGGTAGAGCTGGTCCTGCTGCCCGTACGAGCCGGATCCGTACCCGCCGTAGCTCCCCGCCCGATCCAGCGAGGGGTAGGCCGAGGGGGCGTGGTGCTGCGGGGGGGAAGGCGGCGGAGGGGGCTCGTAGGGGTAGTAAGGCTGCGGCGGCGAGGGCGCCGCGGCGGAGGGGGGCGCGAGCGGGTAGTGGTGTGGGGTGTGGTGGTCGGCGGGCGGCGGGGGGTAGGCGGGGTACGACGAGGCGGGCGCGAAGTCCTGGG